CCTTTAATCTTTTCATCTGTACCAGAACCAAATCTGCACCCAATCTGAGCTGCACCAATAGCTGTGACTGCTTAGGTAAGTCGTATAATATCATCTTCTCCAGCGAAAAAGCACTCCTTTGTGGAAGGGAGACATAAATCTCCCCAGAGAGAGAATTTCAAACCTCTGGGCTGCTGGACCACCACAATGCTTGCTAAAAGCAGACCTAAAGAGCCTGCATTTAGGAATGGCACAGATGGCTGAGTCAGTTCCTTCTCCCCTCCTGCTCAGCTCGCTCCAGGTATTGTTCAGCCTTGGACACACTGGCAGTCTCGGGGAACGTGTCCTGTCTGATCTGGGCTGGCAAAGCTGTTCTGGGCTCTGGTCCCTCAGCAGGAGCCCCTGGAGCAGAGGGAGCTGCAGGTGAGGTTTCTGTAGGACACAGCCCCTCTTTCTCAGCCAGCAACCACCCTGTCTGGCAGGGGAATCTCAGCACGGTGGGATGGTTTTCCCTTCCTGGTGGAAGGTGGACACGTTTCTGTCAGAAGCACTACACTGCAGCCAGTTCACTTTTAATATTATTTGTGTGCACGTGTTCAGTAGGTCCTTGTGAATGCCACAGTGAGACTGTGATAGAAAGTACATATAAACCAAAATATGCAAAATAAGTAATTTTTCATAATTCAATATGACATCCTTCCTTTAATTTAAACCTAATCAGGGAATAAGAAACTAAAACCAGCTGTAAGCATTCACATTACATCTCTCCAGGGAAACGTACATAAAGTTAGGATTTGTTTTCACCCAATGGAAATTTCGCGATTTCACACAGCCACTCTTTTTGTTTAAGCTGCTTCTTTATTACATTTTCCATAACAGAATTTACAGCCTCCACAAAATAAAAAGCAATTCTATGGCATTTTCCTTGCCTTACCTTCTCCCGCTCAAAACATGAAAAGATTAAACACATAAGTGTTTCTAGTAATCTGGCTATCTCAGCCATAAATTCAACAGGCAGGAAAGATTTTTTTTATCGGTAAGATGTGCCTGGAAACTCTGTATGGCCCAGCGTGGTACACACATTTCTTCTTCTTTTTTTTTTTTTTTCTTTTTCTTTTTTTTACAATTCATAAGGTAAATAAGCTTTTAGGAAACCACATCCAAAGGCGTTTTAAAGCTCTCTTCTCCCACGTACACCAATCCTGGTTAGCAGCACAGAATTAAAATGCACGGTGAGCTCAGAAACGAACACTCCCAAAACTTAAAATGTTCCACCGAGCAATCCAGTAGGGAGAGCAGGAGGGAATGCCAGCCCTCTCAGCACAAAAGGACACAGCCCCAGACGGTGGCCATCCAACAATTGCTCAGCTGTTGAAGGCAGCAGGGAGGGGCCTGGCTGCAGCGTGGGACAAGCAGAAGCCTGTATCCATCCAGCGGGAAGCAATAATCTGATTACAGCCCTCAGTCCCTCTGGAAGCCCTCAGTCCCTCTGGAAGCTATGGAAACTTTAAGAAAAGTGCTCTGCTGCTGAAGCTTGCTCAGAGAAAGTGCACACTACCTGGGAACGGCGATGGCTCATGAGTCCAAAGTTAATGCTAGCAACTACCTCTTAATCTGTGCTTAATAATCAGGCAGGGTGAAAGGCTGACCCAAGGCAAAGTTTAATGATCCAGGCTGGCAATTGGAGCTATTGGTAACAATTAGTTTTTCTGCAAATGTGCTTCCCATGGTGGGAAGTGTAACTATTAAATTTCCAGACATTTTTAATTACATTTTTAAAAATGTGACATTATCATCTATAAATGCTGCATGAGACTATTCCCTGAAGTTAAATGCAGGAGTAGTAGTAGCAAGACCTTTCAGAAAAAGGCAGCAGATGCTGTTGTGTCATTTGGCTCTGATCACAGAAATCACAGTGTTTTCTTCTTCACATATGGGAGGAACTTAGGGGAAAAAAATTTCCCTCAAAACAAAAGACATGAACATGACCTTGTAGAGGAGGGAAATCACAATGTTACAAATTTGCAACACCTGAGAGCTGGTTGCCAGGAGTGGTGCTGTCCAAGTTTAGCAGAGGACAGACACAGGTCTTGCCAGACTAATCCCCCAAGGCAGGTACCTGCTGAAGTTAAAATGAGCACAGAAACAGGGCCCACGTGCTGTGTTTGAGAGCTCAGGAGTGTGACTTCCAATGCCTTTGGTGCAAGGCAGGGGAATTTTGCAGCCACCAACTTTCAGGGGAGCATCAGGCATGGCCGGATGCTCCTCTCCATGCCCGGAAGCACTGGCTCTTCAGGGTTGCAGCCAGATTATACCGAGGCTTTGAATTTCTGACACACTCAGGGGACAGAGTGAGGGATGAAGGTGCCCCTCGCACTCGGCAGGACTAACAGCACCCCACTGTCCCATATCAGTGTGGTGAAATCCCCCTGGAGGTCGCTGGAGCAGCAGCATGTACCTCTTACTGTACATCTGCAACAGTAATGTTGGAACTGAAGTGTTGACACGCTTTTCACTAGGACACAAAAGTGCTTTTTGGTTGTAGTACAAGAAAGTTGTGGGAGGAAATGGGAATTAAGCAGTAGAAGGAAAACAAGAAAAAGACACCAGCTAGGAAAGGCCTGGCTTTGCCCTGTGTATAACAATTGCCCAGACAGTATTTTAGGTTTTATATACATGCATCATAAAACTGGTGAATTTTTCTTCTGTGTTTGTGGAACCTTCTTTTGTCTTTTTTTTCCAGCAGCAATTACACAGTTAATTCTAAAGGAAAATGAAAAGGAAAGAGAAATGGAGAAATATGAAAAGTAGACACTCTAAAGCATATTTTCCAAGATCATTAATATATGCCTGGAGTATACAGAATAGCAAATTTGGACTGGAGGCAAGAATTCATGGCCTCCTAAAATACAAATTATCATGTCTTAAAGATGTAGTCTGGAAGAGTTAGATTTCTAGTTAGAAAAGACAAAAACATTTAAAAATTCAGATAGCAAAAATGCATTTTAGGTATGGTAGTGCATAAGCTGAAAAATACTTCTGACCTATATAATCAAATTAAATTATTGCTAAATTAATTTGGAACATATCTAGGTTGCAGAATTGTTCTTAAGAAAAATATATACCCTTGCATATATATATATATATGGCATTATCCTGTGTATGATACACAAACATTTATAAGACTTTGACTTTGTCAACCGCTACTTATAAGGTAGCTTCTCTCAAAAATCCTAATATGCATGTACCCCATGTAGTTTGAATCAGGACAAGTAAATCAATACTATTAATCAACAAACACAGGAACATGCAATTCTTAAAACTAGTTTTATCTATTATTCAGACATTCCCTCTTGTGTGGGTGCTTGTTTTCTCTGTTTGTGTTTTCTCTTTTTGCCTCTTTTTTTAAGCCTGGAAACTGCCACAAAGAAGTCTGGCAGCTATAACCTCCAGCTAACTACTAGCAAATGCTAACATGCTGTAAAGTGGAACATTTATACAAGATCCATCTGGTGCATACAAGTAGGATTCCAAGATTTAAAGCCATTACATTGTGCATGTGCATTTACACCTTCACCAAAGTTGGCAAAAAGAGTAGATTTTACCCCATGACTCCAGTAGTAAAAGGAGTGGTGTGAAACATGTGCTGACCTACGCTCCTCCATCCAATTGTAGTTATTATATACTGCTCTTTGGCATGTTACATCCCAGGCTTCATGCCAGGAATAAATTAGTTCAGTCCTGAACTTGCCTATCAGAAATTAAATAGTACAAGAGTGAAACATGCCTATAAAGGATTAGAGTAGCTGAGTGTTTTCTTTTGATCAGTCTCACAGATTTAAAGAGGCACTCCACCGGGTCTGGTAAACCCAGCAATACTCCCATCAAAAGGACCTCTCAGTTGACTCTTTTTGCAATAACCGAGCAGTAAGGAGGGGAAAATGGCTTTGAGCTTTTTGCTATTCCTCGTGAAGCTTAGACTTCCTCAGCCATATGCCTCAGTTTTTAGTCTTTTTTCAGCGGGTACATTCCCATCCCCTCAGGCAGAACAGACCTGGGTTTGTCTGCGATATTTTGCTTTGTATTTATGCAGGAGGTAGATAAAAGAAATATGAAGAAATTAAAACAAAGCATGCAGAGATCAATGACAAATCATTGATTTGACAAATCATTGACATCACCATCATGCTAAAAAGAGGAGGGGGAAAGGTTGAAGAGAAAGGGTACATTTACACTAGCAGAGAAATTCAGGCTCCCGTCAGAAGCAAGCCGCGATGCTTAAGGCATTCGCTCGTGCCCTCTGCCGTCTGTCCCGGCGAATTCCAGCGCGGACTGACCTCCTCTCCAGCGGAAAGCCCAGGGCTGTCTGTGTTGGGTGGGT